TTCTTACTATCCTACAAGATTTCATGCCCATGAACTTAATTCATGTATCAAATGTAAAAATGATACAAAAAGATTTTTCTACTGTGAAAAAACTATCAAAATATGAAATTCTCTACCTGATCAAAAATGGTTACCTTAAAAGTTTGCAAAAGACAAGCAAAAGCAATTCTTAATATGTTGCTGTTGTACAAAAACACAGAAACATAAATCCTGGTTATAAAAAGCAAATGAAAAGGAAATTTAATGATTAATGTGTCTTTTACTAAAAATCCATAATAAATATTATAAATGGGTTTTATTTAATGAATATAAATAAAAAACTCTACCATGTCCATAGATCCATACTAACTTTATAACTTAAACTTTGATGTCATATCGGCACGGGTTATTGTTATCTGATCTCAATAATATTTTTTTATTTAAGTTTTTGAGTCAAATGAAAAAAAAAAAAAGAGGGCATGCATTTTGAAATTTGAGAAAAAAAATTTCACCCTTACAGCCTGGGACACCCTAATATATATATATATATATATATATATATATATATATATATATATATATATATATATATATATATATATATATATATATATATATATATATATATATATATATATATATATATATATATATATATATATATATATATATATATATATATATATATATATATACATATATATACTCTTGCATGGTAGTTAAAAAGAGTTTCCCATAAACTGTAGTTTTAAAGAGCGCGTTAATAAACCAGACCAGAAAAAGTTTAAAACTTAAATTTTTTTTTTTTTTTGAAATGATAGACTGCCTGCCCAAACCAAACCCTCAGTCGATGTAGCAGCACTCCCTTGCAAGTCAGGCTATTTGTCAGTCGTTGTAGCAGCACTCCCTTGCGAGTCAGGCTATTTGTCAGTCGATATAGCAGCACTCCGTTGCGAGTCAGGCTATTTGTCAGTCGATGTAGCAGCACTCCGTTGTGAGTCAGGCTATAAGATAGTCGATGTAGCAACATTTACGCATGTTTTAAAAATGTTTTTTAATAAAACAAAAACAAAAACACTACAAATTTAAAAAAACTTTCTAGTCGTTATTATTGCGGTTTTTTTAAAATTTTTTAAAAAACAATAAAATTTAATGTACTTCCGCATTAATTTAATTGCTTTGACATTTCGACGACAATCAAATACAGCTTAAGAGACGAGGTAATTAAAATTGTAGTCGTAAGAGACTTTTTTTACATTAAACGACTCTTTCGACTACACTATAGGGATATATATATATATATATATATATATATATATATGTATATATATATATATATATATATATATATATATATAAATGAAATATTTATGAATTGCGGGCGCGATAAAAAACGTCTCTTACGAGGAAGAAAACTAATAATGATTTACTTGATTATGTTAAATTTTTTTTATAAAAAGTTTTTGTTAAAGATTCTTGTTTAATTAAACAAAAGAGTTCGCTTATTGTTAAAAACAAAATAATCTCTATTCAATCTTTAATTGTGTTTCTCAATTGAGGTAAAATGTTAAAGTTATTTCAATTTACTTTTGTAAATTGTTACTTTTGTAAAAGTTGCTTCAATTAAAAAACTTATTTTTTCATGTTAACTTATGTCATTCTGTTGAAATTCGAGCGCAAATTTCTACGAACAATGAATGGTGATTCGTGAATAACACTACTTTATATAAAACATTTACAGCAAACATTTAACAAAATTAAATAAAATTTTATTTATATAAGTTTATTAATAATACTAAATTTTATAATAAATACAAATTAATTATGAGAAACGTTGCTAATTTAATTTTGTAAAGCATTTGCTAAAAACCATATGTGTAATAATAAAAGTTTTTTAATTAATTTCGAAATATTTTTTTTATTAAGTTAAAGATGAAAACAATAACAAAGAAAATACATAAAAGGTAAATTTATTCTTTAAAACAAGATCTTTAAGAACTAGGTGGAAAAAAACACAATCAGATGCGAGCAAATAATAAATTAGTATTTAGGAAATCGAAATAAATTTAAACGTTTTGTCAGGCAGTGTGCTGCTAAATAATAATGTTAAAATATTTATCGTTTAAAGAACGCTGTATAACAAATTAAAACTTATTAATATTGTGTGGAACACCCATATCCAAAAATAAAAGATCGCTCATGATAACTTAATGGCAAGCGCACATAATCGCGCTCGTAAAAAAAAATTGAGTTTTATGGGCACAAAACATCGCACTGGACAATTTTCTTCATGCCAAGGCCTGTATATTTATACAGGCCTCGACGGGAAGCGAGAGCTTTAGCTCTTGCTCTCGCCCACACTCTCCTTTACGGGAGCAATTTATGGCTCTCGCAAAAGTATAATTTTTTCTATCAAAAGTTTAATTATCATTGTAACTAAAATAAAAAATGCAGTCATTTTAATAATTATCTTTAACAAATCCTAAAATCCCTGCATTCTATTAATAAGGAAATATAAAACTTTTTTTATGAGCAATAAAAACAATGCTTTTCTAAATAATTTAGAGAAGCAGCTTGCATAGGTCGCCATGTTCGTTTTAGGAGAGCTTTTCACCGCTCTTGGACTCATTTCTTCCCGTCGAGGCCTATATATATATATATATATATATATATATATATATATATATATATATATATATATATATATATATATATATATATATATATATGTATGTATATATATTAGGATGCTATGGTCGGTCCCAGCAGTCCGAAAATACAAAAATTTCTCAATTTTGTAAATGATGAGGAGGGCAGAGTCACTTACAAATATATCAAAGATATCTTAAAGGTTATTTTTGTAGCCTGGTCAACTAGCAAATTAGCTTGGCTATCTTTGTTTCTGAAAGTTTCAATGAAGTCTTGACCAAGTTTAATAGCACATTCCGCACTGTCATTTACAGTATGAAGACCAGTGACAAAATTTTTAAATCTAATGTAGCCCAAAAATGTTTCCCAGTTTTACGAATTGATTTTCAGCCATTCTGTCTCTTGTAATGTCATTTTTATTAAATCAAAGAAAAACCAGCTTTCAGGACCAATAAAGTCTTCAATTTTTTTTTTTTTTTCTTTGTTAGTAAAAATTTTGGAAACCAGTTTTCCCATCTTATAACTGGTAGGCTTTTCTGTTTGATTTAATTTAAGAGCTTAATTTAAATACTAATTGTGTTTTTTAAGTGACTTCAGTACGGCTTCTGCTGGTTTTAAGACAGAATTCAGAATAGTGTATCATTTCATTAATTGCTATTAGATCTAAAGAAGGAGCTATGGCAGGGATAGGAACTATAATAAACCATGGAACATAAAATAGTGCTGTAAATGAAGCAATTTCATGAATCAGCTTTTTCTCTTACAATGATATTATATTAGGACATCAGCTACTGAATTGTAGCTGAAGGTCGTATGTTAAATAATAAACTCCCTGTGCCATTAACCTGGCATGTGCAAAGCTATTGGAAATCTAAAGTGAAAATTTTTTACTTTGCTATCTAACCAAAAAACTGCTAATTGTATAAAATACTTGTAGTCATTTCTGGATAGCTGAGTTGGTTAGAGCGTCAAATGAAAAGTTAAAACCCAGGCTATTGAACGATACAAGTTCAAATCCTGCCACCGCCAACTCAGCGCTTGAGCAGTACTTCAGTACGTTAAAATGTTGGCCAATAACGGATGCTACTTTGGATAGTTCAAATTATTCACTACATTGTGTAGAAAAATATAGCATGAAAATTTAAGTTAATAAAAAATTAAAAAAATAAGTTGAATTGGTGTTTATGAATGTAATTTTGCTTTTAATGATCATGTACTAATAATATACTCCTGGTACTTTTATGAACAATTACTTTACCCTTAGTAGGGTCAATACCTAGGCTAGTTTCGTCTAAATTAAATATTTTGTCTGGGTGGTCATTTAAATTGTTTTCATACAGAAAATTTAAATCTAAAATTTTTTTTATAAATTTTTAAAAGTTCATCCAACACATATCTAGATAGTACTTCAGCCCTTGCTTTAATTATTAATTCAGGCTTTTGCCAGTTAATTTTCCCATCTCCTTTCAAAATTTATAATCAAGTTATAACTGGGAGTGTCATTTTTAGATGGTGTCTTCCTACCTACTGATGGTAAATAACTGTACACTATACATTGCAAATCTTTTCTGTCTAGTGGATATCCACAATTTGCTGTAAAATTAAGGCTTCTTCTCTTATCAACACTGTTCTTCTGCCAGTACTGTGATAGGGTTGGAGGGTTCACACACAATTGTCTTGCAGTTTCATACAGAATATTGTATTTTTTGAAGCTGCATACATTGATTATCCATTCTCGATATTTTCTTTAGCCCTTTTTAGATCATTACTATCATATTTAACAGGTTTTTTTTTCATATATGATCTAAAACAAAAAGTTAGGTTAGCTTTGATGTTTATGGTAATTATACCCATATTAACATGATCTTAATAACAAGACAAATAATATATTAAGCCCAAATTATTAAAAGTTTAAATATGTATACATATCTAAATTTGATTAAATATTGCAATGGAATAATTAATGACAATGCATTGATTTTTTTGTTTTTATTTCACTGACGTTTGTACATAACCTATAAAATATTCAGAAAGGTCATGGTTAATGTTGCTCATATAGTTTTTTATGTTTTTCTTATATGTTGTAGTTTTTGCATTTTTTTTATAAGTACATGTGCAACACATGATATTTTTTTATCTTTGTATAGAAATACTAATTTTTATAGAGAAAATATAATCTAAACCCAAATTACCTCACTATACCCAAATTACCCCCACAGTCCCTAATGGGTTTATAAAATATGATTATTTTGAAAAAATGTAATATATGCTTTTAAAAGTTAATATGTAATAAATTATTTAGATCTAGATAAGTTTACTTGAATTTAGGCTATAAATAATTAGATAATAAATAATTTACTTTTTGAATTTAGATTAAGTGAAGCAGAGAATGCATTACTTGGAAATCACAATAAATCAATATTGAACACTTCTAATGAGTTTGGTTCTTTATCAGGTGCAGCTTTGCAGTTGTTGGGTAAAATATATAGGTAAGGGTAGTTAAGTTAAATTTGATTGTTTCTTCATTTATGATGAGTCGGCATATGGTTTGCAGTTTCATATTTTAATGCTTAAAAAAAGTTTTTATTTTACAAAAAAAAAATTTAATTAACCTATATTAATATTTTTTTATTAGATATATCTAATATTTTCCTTTTGTTTTGTTTTTTGATAATAGCCTGTAATAAGTAACTTTACTGTTAAAACAACTGAAAAAAATCTTTTCTAGTATATTAACAAACAAGATTTATTAATTACATTAAATCAAGGGCAGAGTGTTAACTAATTAAAAATGGGAAAAATAAAATAGTTTTTGATATCTCAATGAATAGATATTTTTAGTAAGTTTAACTGTTAAAACATTTTTTCTTCGCACACTTGTCTTCTTAGGTTTAATAAAACTATGAACACAACTTATCTTCTAAGGTTTATTGAAGCTATGGACACAACTTATCTTCTAAGGTTTATTGAAGCTATGAGCACCACTTGTCTTCTAAGGTTTATTGAAGCTATGAACACATCTTGTCTTGCCACTAGGGCAAGACAAGATTGTGAATTTAGAATTACTTTAATTCTAAATGCATTCCCAAGGTTTATTGAAGCTATAAACATAACTTGTCTTAGCACTTGGGTATTCCTTTAAGATAAATTTTCATAAGCGATTTTTTTATATTATTCACATATAAAATCATTTTTACATAAATTAAATTTTTTGTATTACGGATACTAAATTATTTCAGTTAATGATTTAGATTAAATGCATTAATTTATTTAATTTATTACAATTATTAAATTGTTGATTCTTAGCATCTGAAGAGTTTATTTAGTTCAAATTATTATTAAATTTTATAGAAAAACTGGCCAATCATCTAAAGCAGCTGAATGTTTTCGTGAAAGTTTACGATGTAATCCTTTTTTATGGCATTCATTTGAACAACTTTGTCAAACTGGTAACTTGTTTAACTTTCTAAAAATATTATTAAAATGGTTACTTGTTCAACTTTCTAAACATAATATTAAAATTCACTTACATAACAACAAAATTAAAAATAGAAAAACGCAAGATTAAAAAAAAAAAAAAAAAAAAAAAACTCATGGTTACTTGCATGTTAACTTGTACTTACTTGCATATTAACCAGCCTGCGAAATTCTAGTCACCATTCTGCCTTGTCAGCGCAAAAACCAACCTATCTTGCCTTTATGATGGCACACAATTGCCAACCTAAATCTTTCAAATTGTCGACATGCAAAAATAAGTATATGAAAAATATATGTAATATTTTTTCATTATAAGTTTATAATTTGTTTATTGTAGTTACTCGTTTTTTCAAGTTTGAAAAGATGTATTTAAAAAAAAAAAATTGTTCATTTTTTTTAACTCATCTTTTCGTTTTTTCTAAAATTTATTCAAGCATAGCAAGGTTATTTATTCATTCAAAAGTTAATAAAAATTACTTTTCAAATGTCTGTTGTTCTCACGCTTTTTTACTTAAAATTTTAGCCTGATTATTATTTTATTAGATTTCAAAATCTAATATTAATTTATTATATTTGCTAAATTCGTTCATTTACATGTTTACAATTTTTTTAATATTATTTAAGATCAGAAAGTCTATAAAGTTTATTCTTGGTATAGTTATGTTAAACACATGTTAAGTAAAAAAACATATTAAACAAATGTTAAGTAAAAAAACATGTTAAACAAATGTTTATTAAAAAAACATGTTAAACAAGTGTTAATTATATAACATCAAAGTTTTTTTAAATTTGATTCAAGTTTTTCATTAAGGTTTTGATTAAATTCATTCAAAGTAAGAAACGCAACAGTGTTACATGAAGCAAGTTCAAAATATTGCACAGAAACATTCTTTATAAATAAGAAAAAAAAAGCTATTTTTAGTATTTAAAAATTTTTTTTTTTTATTTCTTTTTTTTTTTATTTCTTTTTTTTTCCCTCCCCAATATTTTCAAAGTGTCAGATCATTTATTTACATTAAGTTACATGTTCATACTATGTTACAATTTTAAAGAGTGTTTTTTTAAAAAAACCAAGGGAAACAACTACTGTAGGAGAAGTAAGTTCTTACTCCCTGTCAACTGGATGTAAACTGTAAACAGGTGTAAACTGTCTACTCACTTTTCAAAACAATTTGCTGTTAACAAAATTTTCTCCTACAGCACTTAAACTAAATTTGCATTTCTAAATGGCGTTCTTTCTATGATCTAAAAAATCAATAAAAATGTAATAAACTTTTATAGTTAAAAAACAACTTTGAAACTAAAAAATCACTAAATCATAAACTTGCTATACACTTACATAAAGTTTAAATGCTACATATATTAAAGTATTTTTGTCTAAAGCTATGCTCTTGTAAAACAATGTATTTATAATCAATTAATCATTACCCTTTTTGTAACAGAAAGCAAAAAATCTAAATAAGTTTTTGCCAACCTGACATCGGTTTAGTTCTTAAATCCTTTGAATTTCGCAGGATGATAAACTCATACTTACTTGCACATAAACTTTTACTTACTTGCATACTAATTTGTACTTACTTGCATATTAATTTGTACTTACTTGCATATTAATTTGTACTTACTTGCATATTAATTTGTACTTACTTGCATATTAATTTGTACTTACTTGCATATTAATTTGTACTTACTTGCATATTAATTTGTACTTACTTGCATATTTATTTTTGCTTACTTGCATATTAATTTGTACTTACTTGCATATTAACTTGTACTTATTTGCATAAGAGACATGTTTTCCTGACTCTTACAGTATACAATACAAATATGAGAAATCACACAAATTTGTGTTTTCATTGAAACAAAAAATTAAATAGTTTGCCAGAGCAATAACCATTGTTGTATTTGTAAAAAAAAAAAAAAAGTTTTTCAGTAAATAAAAAGACAAGATTCGGTCAAGCACTTGTTAATTAGTTTAGAAAGTATTAAAGAGCATTCTGGGATCTTTTAATACTTTTGATCAAAATACTGTCATGACCATGACATGGCTTTAGATATGAGATTTTTTTTTTATGATTTGGATGCCTAACAATCAAATAAACTATTACTTTAGTTTTCTAAAAAGAGTGTGCTTAGTTTCTGAATTTGTGGTAAAGTTCTTTGCAAGTAGTTTTGCATAGAAGAAATACGAAGAATTTTTTAATAATTATATTGAAGATTTTCAATTTTAAAGTCTTTTAGAACCTTAATATTAAAAATTCGTAAAAACTTCTGAGATAAAGTATAAGGTATAGTAATCTTAGAATAGTAGTCTTATTTTTAAACAATGATTTTTAGCTTTAGCTTCTTTGTTTAGAAATATTTAAAATAGAGTAGTCTTTAAAAAAAATGATTGAGTGAGTTAAGGCTTAAAATAGTCATATAATTTATACCTGGCTTCACAACGAATAAGTGAATTAATACAAAGTATATGCTTAGGCATAGTATGTGACTATTGTAGTCATTGTAAATCAAAAGATAGTAGCCATCGCCACATTTTTACAAAGTAGGTCTGGTTAATTTTGAAACATGTAAAGTTTTGAAAAATATACTTCAAAGACCACAAATATTTGTAAAAAATAGATTGAAAGAATTTGATACATATTTTATTCGTTTAGGCTTTTATTATATAAAATTTTACTTTAAAATGAATTTGCAAAATTAAAAATTGTTCAAGTGCTCTCATTTTATTCTCAATTTAATGTTTTTATGTTTTAGAGAATATTTTTGAAATTATTAACAAATATGAAGACATAAACCTACCATTTTAAAATGTCATTTTGAATAATGACATTTTCTTCATATAACTTAAAAAAGAGGTTCTTTTTATTTAAAACTGCATTTCTGTTTTGTTAAATTTATTTTAAAAGATTTAAACTCTAATCCTCTTAACTCATTCTTTTGGTATATAAAACATTATATACCAAAAGAACATTGTATTTTTGGTCTTTTCCTTGCTAACTTGAAAATAAATCCAATTTTTTCATCTTCATTCTGGTGTTATTAAAAAAAAAAAAAAATTGCTAAATTGATGATGTTTTTAATATCTCTCTACTCTATATTTTAAAACAATATTTGATTAAAATGAGTAGAAGCTATAAAATTATAAAATTAACAATTAATATGAAGTTAATTTTAGGCTCAGTGTTGTGAGTAAAAGTTATGATTTAAAACAAATAATAGTCATTTTACCCAACACAAGTTTTAGTTAAAAAATATTTGTTTAAAGAGTTTATTAAGATTTAATAATAATGATTATTAGATCATTATATAGATCATTATATAGATCATATAGATCATTAGATCATATAATCATTATTAGAGCATTTTAGACTTATCTTATATGTTAGTGCATTTTAGACTTATCACACAGAATATGATTATTAGTTATTGAATAACAAATGTATAATAATAACAAGAGAATCTTTATTACAAAAAAAAAGATTGCGACATTTTGGAAATAAAAAGTGTATACCATCAGATTAAAATGGAGAATTGTGTTCACGATAAAAACTAAAAAACTATTTTTAAAATAAAGTTTATACTTGTAGAAGCTGTAATATAAATAAAATTGATAGTTATAAAGTTAATAATTATTTCAGATAGTATAATAACATTTTTGTTAATTATGTTTTTTTGTTGATAATATATTACAGGAGAAAAAATTGATCCGGTTGATTTCTTCAAAACTACCAGCTCAGCTAAAGCAACCCAACCTTCAATTATCAAAAACTCTGAATTTTCGCCTTTCGATTTAATTTCCAACTACAAAAATGTATATTCTGAAAATCTCGATCCTGCAAAATCTGGACCATTGTTTACATCAACTGTTGTTAGTAAGCCAACTTTGCAAGAACATTTGTCTACTGTAAATTATGAATGGAATGATGGAGACTCAGATATGCCCCCTCCGCAATCAATTGCTTTAAAAAAAAGTCGTGTTCCTGTTAAAGCAAGACAAAGAATAATTGGAACTAAAACTTCTGATAGTCCTGTCACACCAAAGTCAGTTTTTTAAAACATATTCTGCTTTTTTTATTTATTATTAATTGCCCTTGTTTTGTTTTTTTTAACTAAGACACAGATTTACACACACACACACACACAAACACAAACACACACACACACAAAGTGAGCATATATATAGAAAGAAAAGCCTGAGCCTGTGTAATTAAAGGATTTTTTTTTTTTGGATAAAAAAAGCCATTTTTTCAATGCAAAAATGTGATAAATGGAGTCCAAATGTAATTTGAACTCACTGCTCATTAACAAGATTACACTGCTTTTTATAAAGAAACATTGATTGTTTTTCATTTTAATTTTATTCCCTGAATTTTTGAACTTAAGGTTTAATTCGCTTATAGTGTCCTCTTTTTTAATTCTTCAATTAAAATCTCCATCTACTCATGGTCTTCTCTCTATTGTATCTTTATTGTTGGCATCACTATCATCACTATCTCCACAATTTTACTATCTTTAAAATTAAGAAAAAATGGTTTTGATATTTGGTTATAGAGAGCACTGTAAAAAAATTTAATTAAAAGGTCTGTTAAGCACTTAATATACTTGAGGTAATAATGTTCCCTCATAAATTGAGGTACTAAAGTTCCCTCATATCTTTATATGATTTTATCTTGTTAACATCTTTATATGGTTTTATCTAGTTAATATAGTACAACTATATTTATAAATATAGTTACACCCAAATTTGAAAAAATTTAGTTTTAAATTCTTAGATTACAATTATCTTAAATTGTGAAAAGTTTTTGTGTTGATATTTTATCAGAATTTTCTGCTTAATTGATTTTAATTTGCTTGATATTATTGTAAAATAAAGTTTTATACACCTGTATAGTTTGTAATATATAGTTTATAAAATACCTAAGGGAAACCAGGGAGATTCAGATAAATATCGCATTTTTTTAACATAATTTTTTGACAACCTACAATGATTTGTATATTTTAATGTTTTTGTCAAGTGTCTGAAGTCATCCATGCATGCATGGATGACTTTAGACATTTATAGGACATCAAATAATTACACAATATCAATCATGATGATTTATCATTTCAAAACTATTACAATTATTACTCAGTTAATTTACACTTAAAATGTCTTTAAAAGGAAACCTCTTATCCTTTGTAGGAACTAGCAATTCAACCACTATTAGTATCAAACTTTTTTCAAATCTGGCCCCAATCCTGGCAAAACTATAAGATTTAGCAGGGGTTGAAGGCCAGGGCTAGAAAAAAATTTATAATACTTTATATATTAAAGTTTTATGCCTACATTTACTATTTAATAAATACTGGCATATATTTATATATTTTCAAACTCCAACAATAATTTTCCAACAAGATTGCAAGCAACCACTATTAAGTTATGAGTTACTTTAAAATAGCGAATAAGTAAAAATACTAGGTATTGGTTAACTGAAGACTTAGATCTTATTTGTAGGTTGTATATAAAAGAAAAACATAAAGATGGCTAAGAGTTATATGGTTTTTTTGATGTGCAAGGAAAAAAAATGGATTAATAAAAGTTTTTATAACATGAAAGGACAGATACAGTAAAAGGAAGCAACTTGTTGAATAAGATCTAAGCAAGAATGAGTTTTGGTTTATCATAATAGAGATGATAGCTTGTTTGAGCATTGACCATGATGTTATTTGTAGAAAATTAAACAAGTTTTGTTGTCTAACAAAAATTGTGGATTTTAAGTCCAGAATTTAAATCCATAAGCTACTGCAAGCCTTAAGCTGTTACAGAAGAGAGACTAGATTAAAAATTGGCTGCTTGTTCTAAGCAATCAAAAAGTGAAGATTTTTTGTCAAGGCAAAAGTATTAAGCTGGCTTTATTTGCTAACGACTCGCCAGCAAATAGAGCCACTTTAGATATTGTAGATAAGAAATAATACAGGAGCAATAATAGAACTTTGTGGTACACTTAAAGTTACTAAAAATAAAGAAGAGTGTAGGCCTTTAAGAATAACTTTATTACTGCAGTTAGAAATAAATAATTTAATAATCACAAAACTTTTATATAAAGAAACTAATAACAGAGTGAAGACTAATCGTAGGATAGTTAGATAGGTCAAAGTGTTTTCTAGAGTTTTGCAAATTTAGAACCACTTATTTAGCACTTTTTAAAATTTAGCATAAATTGAAGAGAGTTCTGAAGAACACTTTTTGAAGACTACGATGGAAATCTTGTCTGAAGCACAAACTGTAGATGTGTGCAATTGAGAATTAACTTAAGCATTGGAAGCTAGAGTGATTTGGATGTATAACTATAGGTTAATCTGTTTAACTGGCAAGAAAATTATGTCCATTAGCTTCAAGAGTCAAATTAGAGTAAGATTTCTTTGCAAATAACTCTGCTTTATTCTGGGGAGAAGTAAAAAGATCCATGAACTAGTGATTAAATGTTAGACTTACTTTAGTTAATAACATTGTTTAGTAAATGTTCTTGTAAAAAGATGAAAAAAATGATTGTTTTTTAAAGCAACTGCTCAAGATTGAGTAGAATGAGACTTGAATTAAAATTGAGAGTAGGAATAAAAGCTTCATAACTTTTAATCCAGAAGGAATAAAAACGTCCAAGATGTCCTTTATGCATATATATTATGGATATAAACATATATGTTTGCTATTTATTTAGATGCTATAAACTTTATATGAACTTTAGTATTTTTGTGGTATATTATTTGCCAAAATAGATGATGATAATAATGATGGTGGTGGTGGTGATGGTGGTGGTGGTGGTGATGATAGTAATGATGATTATGATGATCATGTTGATCATAATGATGTTTATATATGCATATATATATAAAATATAACATGAATTTTTAATTAAAAAAAACTTTAGGATCACAAACCCAGCCCTAGGTATGTTTAATCAAATGCGGCCCTGGCCCCGGTCAAATATCAACTCTGGTTGCTTACTAATTAGTATAAGCAACAAATTAATATTCTTCATTAGTTATTATAAATCTATTGAAAAGGTTTTTCCTTTTTGTAAAACTCCACTTCATAACTACCTTTCCAGATTTTTAAAAATTTTTGCTATATAGTTATGGCCTGATTGTTTTCCACATCCATAAACTTTTACAAGTATAAGTATTGCTGTCATAGGATCCATAACCATCAAGGTTGTATGTACTTTTGTTGATTGAAATTTTTCTCCCCGTTCTTCCCTATATAATTTATGTCATTAACTTTCTAATTAACAGTTTAAACAAAGCATTTTTTTGTCTAAAATAGAGTTAATGCAATTATCAAAAGAGTAATGATGATGATAATGATGATTTAAAAATTATGCAGTTAAATCTTTATAAAGTTAATAACAGACAAAGCTTCAATTAAAAATTATTTCTTTATTTTCGTTTAAACTTTAAATTCATCAAATATATATTAAAGATAAAACTTAACAAAGTAATAAAAAAATAGCTTTTTAGTTAATCAAATTTACCTTAAATCTTTATGTTGACTTAAGTATTTTTCCAATATACAGTACCTAATTTGCTATTTCAACAGAATTTCTATCAATTTAACTAAGTGTTGACTAAACAAGCATTAACTAAACTTTGTTAACTAAACAAAAAATTTTTTACTATCCTTTATCTTTATGGCATCTTTCATTGAAAAGCAATAATATTAGTTATATTTGATGCAGGTAATCTTGAACTAGATTGAGCAATTAAAGCCCACAGAGAAATATGAAATGTTTCTATTAAGAAAACTTTTTATGTATAGGAGGATAAGTAAATTAAAGGAAAACGGACAGATGTTCAGAATAAACACAGATTTATTTTAAAAAGAAAAAGTTTATACAATTTATAGTCAACAGTAATTTTATTGTTAAAGTATACCTAAAACATAACAGGACACATAAGTAACCATAAATCACATAAGTAACCATAAATCTTCATTAAATACAAAAGTTTAACTTACTTTAAAATAAATATACATATGCATAGATATATCAATATTTAAAATAAAAATAAAATGGTAGGAGGTATAAGTCAAAGAAAAAAAAATTGTTTTTGTGTACTCATAATTTATGTAGTGGTGGTAATAAACTTCTCCTCAGAATCACGTTTACTATTACCGGTTTATTGTTACCTGCATTATCAATAGGTTCAGCATAAATACCTAGTTAATCCTGTCAGATAAACATCATCGCCATTTATGTTTTACCCTGCAATTAATGCCTGCTCCATATTGCAGTAAAAAAGGACTTCAATACAAACAGCCAAAACCCTAACATCACCCAAATTTGTAAAGCACTAATTTTTTTGTATGTATATATAAATAAAAAAAGACATATATAGAAAAAAGTAAAAATAAAATTTAAAAAAAAAATAAAAAACAATAAAATGATAATAAAATATAAATGATAATATAAAAAATAAAAATAATTATATTCTAATAGAAAACCACTAAATACTTAACTACACTACCAATGTGATAAATGCTATTAGATAAAACTTTATTATAAACAAAACAAGTCACTAAATTTGGTACTTATTGGATATAGAAACCAATAAGATATAGAAGCATATATCAAATTATAAAAACATTAAAACCATACAAATTTAACGTTGTCATAGATACCTAGATTGACTAATCAAAAAAACAGGTTATAAATCAAATATAGCAATAACAACAAAAACAGTAAGCGAAACCTCTGCAATGTCAAATGTTAAAAACTACTTAGGGTGGAAAAAAAAATATATATATATATGTATATTTATGTATAAAAAATGACTGCCTAAAAACTAACATATTCACATACAAATATACATACATGCACACATATCAATGTTGAAGTATTGAATGTTCCAGTACAATAGTCAAGTTTTACTAGAAACCAGCTTAAAAGATTTTACTCCTTAACCATATCTAGCTAACCCAGCCATACTTCTAATTACCTATGATGGATTTAACATCCATACATAGGATTTATATTATCTTCTGGTTCTAAAGGCTAGCTCAGACATATTCCAGAAACAATCACATTTTCCGTGGAGACAGCAGTATGTGTGTAACCGTAGTTCTGTTGTATAAGTACAAACAACAAAAAATTAAAAAAATAAAGAAGCACATATAAAAGTAGTACTGTATATAGAAAATATAATGAATAAGATCAAACAAAGACATTCAATTAAGATAGTTATTGTATATAGAACTATAGATAGTTACTGTGTATAGAACTATAGATAGTTACTGTATATAGAACTAGAATATAGTACTGTATATAGAAAATATAATGAATAAGATCAAACAAAGACATTTAATTAAGATAGTTCAAAAAAAGTTTTGCCACAAGATATTTGAGACTATTTATGCATAAATGTGTTTAGATGTTATGCATATGTATGTATTGTGAAAAAATATCAATGTTGGCATATAATAAGATAGTCGTTGCTCACTAACCAAAACTTCTATATTTCATGCAGGTAATCTGTGGTGCTTGAACTAGGCTGAACATTGAAAGCCCATAAAGAAGTACTATCTAAATACTAAGTCTAGAATTTACTAAATATTTACTAAGAATTTATTTAAAAAATCAAATAAGTGATTTACTTTTAACATAGCTTGCTATTCATTTTGAGTTTTTACCACTTTATTTTATCATGCCTTTTTTTTTTTATTTCTCCTAGAGTGTTTAACCATTGAAAAAATATGCTTTTCTATATAATGTTTTTTTTTCTATATAATATTATTCCTTAAAACTTTGATTTTTAGGTTTTTTAGGCACTAAGGTTTTTTCAAAAAATTTGACCTGTCCACAGATTTTTTTTTACCTTATTCACCTAAACCCAATTCACCTTCAAATTATAAATTTAAACTCTAAGTTAGGTTATTTTTGCTCCAAAAAAAAATTTTACTTTAAATTTAAAAAGATTTTATGGCTATTTAAAATTTTATTGAAATTTTGTTTCCAAAAAAACAATTATTATTAGGAAGTGGTTTAGTTTAAGTTTTCATTTGCTGTAAAAAAAGATCATTAATTTTATCAAAAATTAACAAAGAAATTATTAAATCTACTCTTTTTTTTATTGGTATAAATTTTAAAATAAAATTTTTTCAGTTTTGGTGTTCTTCCTACGGATTCACCTGTTATTGAATTGGGCTCGTCACCTAATTTTATCACACCTCCAATATCTAGCCTTAATGAAAATCCTTTAAAAGCACCATTAAAGGCTCCTCATCGACAGGTAATTTACTTTTTAAACTATAGATTAAATTAAAAATTATTTTATAATAGAATTTGAAAAATAATGGCTTACATGCAATATGTTTATTCATTCACACAATATGTTTGTATCATTTTTGTTGTTGTTATTGTTGTTTTTCGTTTATTACGGTTATACTTAGGCTTCAAAAATTGCAAGAATCAATTTGTAGAGTAGTTAACCCTTTGAGTAAAAACATGTTTTAAATTAAAATATCATTAAAACATGTTTTAAATTAAAATATCATTAAAACATGTTTTAAATTAAAATATCATTAAAACATGTTTTAAATTAAAACAACAAAATATGTAGTAGTTTGTTATATGAAAAGAAATAAAGATTTAAGTTTTTATTTAATAGAATTTTTCGTCATTACTTATGCTATGTGTAACTTAGTAGTTCTTTTCCGAAATACTTTTTGCATAAGATAATAGGGTATTTCAATTTTCACTTCTTTTTTTTTTGATTTTCTAAAACAAGAAAATATTTTTGATTAAAAAATTGTATATATTTAAATTTTATTAAAAAATTAAATTAATTGTTTTAATATTTCTTGAATTGTTAGAAAAAAATGAAAATCTTTTATTTAAATTTAAATTTGAAAAATTTTTTTTTGTTAAAGATAATTATTTCTTTAAAGGGACTACCAAGTCCCGAGACATGTTGTGTTCATATTAAGGAGAATGTTAAAAAAAAACGTCTGAGCAAATTTTTTTTGATTAAAACTAATTAATAAATGTGTACCAAGAAAAACAAATCTTGTTGTTTTAGTCAAAGCTTGTCTTCTCCGTTTTCTGTGGTATTTTGAGTATGTAAAATAAATGCGATTTTCCAGGCGCATTATGCAGACTTGATAATTTATTCAAGTGCGTTTAATTCATAGGAGTTTTAGAGCATGACGTCATTGGAAACATTCTAGAAATTCTTTAAAAATTTTACTATTAAATTTTACTCAAATAGCTAACTATAGTTACTTTTTTTATTAAAAGTTTATTTTATTAATTGTTTGTTAGTTTTTTGCAAATCTAACGAACAATTAATTAAACCAAGCACTAAGAAAAGATATAAAAATTAAGAATATACTAATAAAATATATAATTTGTAATTAACTTTCAAAATTTTGACAATTTAAAAAATATATATTATAAAACATTTATTTTTGTAAACAAATGATAATAGTTTAAAAGTTTTACGGCTTTACAGATGTGGCTCCGAGAATGAGCCATAATATAAAAGTAATAGTTTATTTGATAATATATTCTTAAAAAAATTTATGCTAGATATCTCAAAATGCAACATATCGTAAATAATACAATTCCTAAAACATTTCAACAGAATACTCTAGAACTTTATTTCGCTTAGTCAGCGTGTTTTTTGAACCAATAGAATTAGTTTGTTCGCAAATTTGGTGGTGTTTAGTGTTCGCGAATATTCTATTTATTCTTCCGCAAAATGTTTTAAGAACATTCAAGTTAATTATGTTTCCATGTATGTCTGTAAAATAAAAATTAATATATATTAATTTTTTATATTTTAAGCCCCCGTCATAATATATATTGGATGTTAAAATGGAAATATAAATAATGAAATAAGATCACCTTAATACCAAAAAATACATTTTTAAAATTCTGAGGAAAAATGCGTTAATAATTTTTTTTCTAATATTTATAAAGTAAATTAATAAAAGTGCATTATTATTTAGGTTAAAAATTATTTTATCTAATATTTTGAAAGGAAAACTTATAACAAAAGAAATCAAAATACACGTGGTCTAGACGATTATTTAAAAAAAGTTGCGCAAATAAAATACTATTTTGTTTTTTATTTTATTTTTGTTTTTAATTTTATTTTGTTTATAATTTTATTTTGTTTTTAATTTTGTTTTACAAACACATTTTAGAACTTTAAAATATAATAAAAATGAATATGATTTGGAAATTGTATATAAAAAATAACATTCGGTCTTTTAAACAAGAAAAAAAAAACTATGACGTCATGCACTAAAACTTCTATGAATAAAACGCGCTTGAATAAATTATCAAGTCTGTATAATGCGCCTGGAAAATTGCGTTTATTTTACATACTCAAAGTACCACAGAAAACAGAGAAGACCACAGAAAACAGAGAAGACTTTGACTAAAACAACAAGATTTGTTTTTCTTGGTATACATTTATTAATTAGTTTTAATTAAAAAAAATTTGCTCAGATGTTTTTTTTTTAACATTCTCTTTAATATGAACACAACATGTCTCGAGACTTGGTAGTCCCTTTAAAGGGATCCTCAACTACCAAGACAAGTTATGTTCGTATTAAAAAGAAAATGTTTAAAAAAACATTTATGCTAAATTTTTTTGATTGAAACTAAAAAATAAATGCATACCAACAAAATTAAAATTAGCGTTTTAGTCAAAGCTCGCCTTCTCCATTTATTTTTGGTTCTTAAGGTCTGTATAATATTGCCGCAATCTGCAAACTTGATAATTTATTTAACGCGTTTTAGTTCATAATAGTTTCGGTATATGGCGTCATCGCAATATTTTTTTAAGATAGTGGTTTTTTTTTTTTGTTTTTTTAAAGATTTAAGTATTTTTTCTACTACAATCAGAAAATCAAATATTTGTATAATTTTTTACTAAATCACAAAAAATATTTGTGATTTAGATTGATAAAAACTTAAAATTTAAATATAAAGTAAAACAGCATTAACACTTTAAAACTTGTAGAAGTGTTTGAAGTATTTAGTTAATTACCAAAGTATTTTGAAGAAAAAATATTATTTTTATTCATTAAATGAGGTTTATTTTGGACTTAATGTTTTAGTTACTACTTACAAAAACAATAGTTTTAGGCACTTTGCATTTCTTATTGTTTAATGATGCGTGTTAAAAACTTTATTATTATTGAATTTGAATTAATTGTCAATGTTAAGCTATTCAAATGTTATTCAAAAAAATGTGCGGTTGCTACAAAAAGATTTTTGTTTGGCTGATAGCGAACAATTTAATGCAATTCTTTGTTTTTATGTTTATATTATAACTATTTCTTGTATATTTTAGTACAATTATTTGTTTTAACTTTAATTTAATTTGATTTAAACGGTTATTAGTAAAATAAGTCATTTAATATTTATTTTCTACTTAGTTCAGTTTATATGTTTTATTCAAGTCACTCGTTTTTTATTTAGCTTATACTTTAAATTAATTTATACGCTTTAGTAAAATTATTCTTTTAGTATCTAGTTTATATTTAGTTTAAATCACTATGTTTACTGTATATATTCGTTATATATTAAATATTTATTTTTATAATTTTTATAAATTTAATTTTTAATTGCATCATAAACTTTTTTTGGGATTTAGTAAAAAGTTATACAATTAACATGATTTGGTGATTTTGGCAGAAAAATAATACGTTATCTTAAGAAAAAATTTATACGATGACGTTATATACTGAAACTGTTATGAATTAAACACGCATGGAATAAATTAACAAGTCTGCAGATTGCGGCTATCATTATACAGACTCCAAAAAAGAAAAAAAAATGGAGACGGCAAGCTTCAACTAAAACGTGAATTTTAAATTTAATATTGTGCATTCATTATATAGTTTTAATCAAAAAAAATTTAGCCCAAATGTTTTTTTTAAACATTTTCTTTAATATGAACAAAACTTGTCTCGGCATTTGGAGATTCCTTTAAAAAGCGCTTCTTAAAAGTTTCTACATCAAAATATTTGGCATTTTTTGGGCTATTTTTTGGGCTATTTTTTGGTCATTTTTATATAAAAGTATTTAGACTTATGGCTACTATCTTTTTGATTACTTTTTATGAACCTTAACATCTTGTTCTTTGATTCAAAGATCTGAGTACCAAATTATTTGGTTCTTTACAAAGGTCTGGGTACCAAATTATTTGCTTGTTTACAAAGATCTGAAAACATGTTTGTTTGGTTTTATGGTAATTTCAGTAAGTTGAGTTTAAATCAATATTTAATGCAAACATTCAACATGTAAATGTATACACAATATTTCTCAGAAATTGATTAAAACATTTTAAATATTAACACAAGAATTTTAGTAATTATTTAAACTCTTGCTTATGTTTCTGTGATTCTTTGTGACATTATATCATAAAAAAGTTTATCACCTGCCTGATAATTGACACATTTGTTCCTTGTATGTTCATTTCTTTTTCAAGTAGACATATGGTAGGGATGATAAGCTATTACACTGTCAGTGCATCTTTTAGATTTTGTCTGAGTTCTTAGTCTAAGTCTTAGCCTCTGCTATTTTTTTTCAATATTCAAAGAGGTTCAACAGAATTTCACAATAAAAAAATATTAAAAAACTGTGTCACAAAAATGGAATAACCATAAAGTAGGATTAGCACAAAAAATTTTGAGGTTAATTTTACACAGTGCTTGTTTACCTGGAATTCATAAAAGAAGCTAACTTACTTGTTGTTATATTACATGTTGCTATTATTATTGTTATTAAAGTATTAATGAAAACAATTTTAATCAAAAGACTTTTTAGATTTAATGAAAAGTTTCGATGTTTATATATGTTATATATGTTTATATATGTTTATATATGTTTCGATGTTTATATATGTTTATATATGTTTCGATGATCATTTAAATTATTGTGGTGTAAATAACCTACCTTTACTTTTCATTTATTTTAAAGAAATAAAGCTACATTATATGCCATGGGGTGAGATATGGCATGTGGGGTAGCCTTGGCTAGGCTATCCCACATCTCCCCAATTGAGTGTGGGGTATCCTAATCACGGTTTTTTGTATATATACATATTTTTAAACATATATTTAATTTTTTTAAACAAGATTAAAATTCATTAACATATTTTACATTTCTGTATTTATATACAGTTTCTTTATTTATATACAGTTTCTATATTTATATACAGTTTCTATATTTATATACAGTTTCTATATTTATATACAATGCTGTGGCTAGTGAGTCAATGGCCCCTTCGCTTCAAAAAAAAACTGTGACAATATATAAAAATCTTTTACTTTTATCGTTTTTTTGTTGATAAGAATTAATTAATATTTAAGTATTTAATTTACTATGGAATAGTTATATCATAAATGTTTTAGAAAATTGCAAATATCTTTCTTTTATTTTTTATTTTTTGCTTTAATTTAAAGACAACAGTTAAAATCAACGGAAGTCGTCACTCATCATTAGTTTTTTCTTCTTTTGGTTCACCTTCGCCTATTTCTCAGTTGGTTGTGACAACAAACTGTACTTCTTTACGGAGAAGTAATCGTTTATTTGATTCTTCTGCAAAGGTATGAAACTATAGTTGTAAACTCTAATTTATCAACTTTAATTCAGAAAAAAATTTAGTTTAAATTTTAAAAACAACTATAAAGAATAAAACATTATTAGTAGTAGCATTGTTTTCAGAATCTATACCTCCTTTATTTAGCATGTTACATTTAGGATATTAAAAAAACACCTCGAGTTAGGTTTGCAGACTCAAATAAACCAATCACAACTGCTCGTAAAACAAAGGTATTGCTATTAAAGAATAATAAGTTTTGTGTTTTTTGAAATAAATCATAGTTAAATGTAAACATTTTATATTTAAAATTACAAAAAGATATAATTAAAAGTACTACAAAATATTTTTGTAGATTTATTTTTCATAATTTTTCTAAAATATTATTTCTGTTGATATTTTTTGCTAAGTCTCGCCTCACTCATGTCTCACAACCATTAACCCCTACAATTCAAAACATTCAATCAGCTGCTAAAAACGAAAATCTTATAAGTGAAATCAAAGATGAAAAACCCACTTCAATTTCTTTATCTCCAATTCAACAAAATTCAGGTAATTTATTTTTTATTTTTTGCTGATTCTTTTATAAGTTTGATTAGATTAGATTAAAATTTTTAAAACAGTGATACATGTTTGATATGCTTGATATATTAAGGCAAACTAAATTGTTCAGAATTTTGTAACATGTAATATGTCTTGCTTAAGGCGATGAAATTCTAGTAGTTCCGAACCAAGAGTTTTAAGTCTATTAAAATAGGAAATGTTATTGTGTTAAGCTATTCTCTTGGTAAAACATCTTTGCACTCTTTTCACTGCTTTGTTTATTTCAGTGCGGTTTAGCCACCAAACCAAGAAGCAATATTCTAAAATTGGTCTTATGTAGGTATTGTAGGCTTTTACGATAACACGTGAATCACGATTTTTAAAACACTTAAGGATTAAATATCCTTTAATGTTTGATGCACCAACAATATTTGCAATATGATTATTGTAATTTAAGTAAGAATGGTCACACAAAAATCTTTTGAGTTTGTAGACCAGGTTAAATTAAGATCTTCTAATCAATAGTTGTAATTTATATCTTTACAAAATGAAGTAAGTGCTATTCTATGAGTAAAACACTTATTATTGGCTTCTTTTAACTAACATTTTTCTAACCAGAGATAAACTTTATAAGTGACAACAGCAAGATTGTGACTGTAATCAGCATCCTTAAATAAACTATTTCGCTTGATATCGTCAGCATATAACCCTAGAGAGCAATTAAGATCTTTTACTATAGAGGGCAAATCATTAATATATAACAAGAATAATGTTGAAATGCTACCCTGTGGAACTCCACTATGGATGCTGGTTAGATTGGATAGTGAATTTCCAACCAGAACCCTTTGATATCTAAAAGAAATACTGATATCCAATGAAGGAGGTTATCTATTATAAGGTACAATGCAAGTTTTTTAAAAAGTTTTGGATGAGGTACAGAATCAAATGCTTTTTGAAAATCAATGTACACCACGTCAATAATTAAATTGCTATCTAAAGCTTTATTAAAGTCATAAGTTGACTCTAGAAGATTTGTGCACGTGGATCTTTTGGATAAAAAGCTGTGTTGAATAGGTGTTATTAAATTATTTAGATTATAAAGTTGCTTTAGCTTTTTGAAATATTTAGTGATGTTTTTGTATGACTTCACTCCTGTAACTTAAGTATTTTTGAAATTCTTTGGTAATTCAAGATTGATTGATTGGTTGATTTCAATCCAAGATTCTTTGGAAATTCCTTGGTAATCCCAGATTAGTATCCCTAGTGTTATAATTATGAGTTTATAAGAGAAAAAAATATCTAAATTTGAATAAAATGGTTTTTAAAAACTGTATTTTTTTTAAGGTTTTCAACTAAATTGGTTTTTGACACAGGATTTTTTTGCTTGGAGATTTTTGATGAAATAAAAGAAAATTATTTTTGACCTTTCTAACCACTATAATTCAAATGAAAAATTTTTTTTAATGAGGATATTTTTCAAATTTTTTTATTGTGATTTGAAGTTTCTCTACTGTGATCCTACTTGATCTTTGTTAGTTTTATGTCACCTTGTTTAGTTTTATGTCATCTTGTTTAGTTTTATGTCATCTTGTTTAGTTTTATGTTTAGTTTTGTCACCTTTTTTAGTTTTATGTCATCTTGTTTAGTTTTATGTTTAGTTTTGTCACCTTGTTTAGTTTTATGTCATCTTGTTTAGTTTTATGTTTAGTTTTGTCACCTTATTTAGTTTTGTCAACTTATTTAGTTTTATGTTACCTTGTTTAGTTTTATGTCACCAATTATTTTTATTTTCTCAATTTTTTAAACAAGATTAAAATTTATCAATATATTTTACATTTCATCAAAAGTTCACCAAAAAATAACTAGCTAGAACTGTCTATCAATGGAAAGTTACCTAATGTTACCTAAATGCTGCTTTTTGAAATGAAAATTTCTGTTTTTCTTCATAAGAAAAGATATTTTAATGCTTCAACCATAGTTTAACAGTTGGGCTGAAAAGTTCGTATCGTTTCTAAGAAATGGCGCCACTAGAATTAAATTCATACCATTTTTAGTTAGTACCAACCTTGAAAAGATACGTGTAAAAATTTGACAGCTGTCAGATTATTAGTTTGTGATATATTGCTCTAGTAGTGACGCTACTTTTGTTATTGTGAAAAAAATGGAAAAAAAAGAATTTCGTGTGTTGATGAAACATTACTTTTTAATGAAAAAAAGTGCTGCCGATACCAAAAAATGGCTTGATGAGTGTTATCCAGACTCTGCACCAGGCGAAGCAACAATTCGTAAGTGGTTTGCAAAATTCCGTACTGGTCATATGAGCACCGAAGATGATGAACGCAGTGGACGCCCAAAAGAGGCTGTTACCGATGAAAATGTGAAAAAAATCCACAAAATAATTTTGAATGATCGTAAAGTGAAGTTGTTGGAGATAGCTGACACCTTAAAGATATTAAAGGAACGCGTTGGACATATTATTCATGAATATTTGGATATGAGAAAGCTCTGTGCAAAATGGGTGCCGCGTGAACTCACAATCGATCAAAAGCAACAACGAATTGATGATTCTGAGCAGTGTTTGGAGCTGTTACATCGAAATAGAACCGATTTTTTTTTCGATACATAACAATGGATGAAACATGGCTCCATCACCACACTCCGGAGTCCAATTGACAGTCAGCTGAGTGGACTGCACGCGATGAACCGACTCCAAAGTGTGGAAAGACTCAACAATCGGCTGGGAAGGTTATGGCCTCTGTTTTTTGGGATACGCATGGTATAATTTTCATCGATTACCTTGAGAAGGGAAAAACCATCAATAGTGACTATTACATTGCGTTATTGGAGCGTTTGACGGATGAAATTGCAAAAAAACAACCTCATTTGAAGAAGAAAAAAGTTCTGTTTCATCAAGACAACGCACCGTGTCACAAGTCAATGAATACGATGCTTAAATTGAACGAATTGGGCTTCGAATTGCTTCCTCATCCACCGTATTCTCCATATTTAGCCCCCAGTGACTTATTCTTGTTCTCAGATCTCAAGAGAATGCTCGCTGGTAAAAAATTTAAGAGCAATGAAGAGGTGATCGCAGAAACTGAAGCCTATTTCGAAGCAAAGGACAAACTGTACTACAAAAATGGTATCGAAAAGTTGGAAGATCGCTATAATCGCTGTATCGCCTCTGATGGAAACTATGTTGAATAATAAAACCGAATTTTGAAAAAAAAATGTGTTTTTCTATTAAACGATACGAACTTTTCAGCCCAACTGTTAAGTTAATATCCACCCAAAGTTTCTGTTTCTGCTTAACATCATTTTGAAGAGTTAGCAAAGTTTGTTATAGCAGTTCAAACGGATAATAAAAATGTCTTACATGCTTTGACAAGTTGTTAATGTCTTGTTTAAATAAAAACAAGCATTTTGAACTGGTGATAATAAGTGGCAGGGGTTGGTATTTGACTGGGTCTGTGTTTGATAAAAATTAGCATGGACTGTGTTTGTGACTTGGGCTGCATAAAAATTGATACATCCTAAAGTAAAATATATATTTTTTAAATTCATTTTATTTTTTATATGTTTATACATTTGAATTTATATAAACATCATCGTGATATGATTATAATAATCATCATCAAGATTAAGCTTTCCTCTTTTAAGTTGTTTCTCTATTATAAACTTGAGTGTGTTATTTCTTTATCTAAGCCACATTCATACCTTATGTAAGGCACTCTCTTTAATTTTTTTGGAAAATCTCTAACAATGTTGTTTCCTAAAGTAAGTCTAACATTCCAATTTTATTTCATGAATCTGATCTTACTACTTCTCACTAGAGTAAGGCAGAGTTATTTGCAAAAAACTTTTCTTCTAATTTGACTCTTGAATCTAATGGTTATAGGCTTCCTGCCATATCAGTTAAACAGGTTAACTCATTGTGAAACATCAAAATCATTTCGGTTTTTGTTACTTAAGTCAATTCTCAATTTTAATCTTCTATGGCTTGTGGTTCAGACAATATTTTCATCATAATCTTACAAATGTGTTCTCCAGAATTCTCTTCAAACATCTCAAACTATTATTAAGTCTTATTAATAAGTCTTATATTATTAATTGTTTAACCATGTCTTTTTAACTAAATCTTGTATCTTATCTCAGATGTTAGGTTAATGTTTATAAGTTATTAATAAGTGTTGGATTTAACTTAACTTATTTGTTTCTTAATTAATAATTGCAGTATTAAACTACCACAAAGTTTAAATCTTTGTATTGTTTTTTTATCTATAACAACAATCTTTCTGACAATCTTACATTTTAAGTGGCTCTATTTGCTGATGACTCAACTTTATACTCTTGTCTTGACAAAAAGTATTCACATTTTGATTGCTTATATCGAAAAGGCAATCTTTAATCTGATTTTTCTTTTTTAACATTTTAGGGCATGAAGTGGCTTGCCAATTTTAATTCCAATAATATTTATTTATTGCAAAGTTGTTGGCGTTCCTATATTCCTATATTATATTGTTGAGGTTTCCTTTTATTGTTGTTGAGATTTTTATCTCAGACAAGGTCCAAAAGCACATTGTAAATCTAGTTGGATCTGCATTATCCGTTAAGCTTGAGCCACTCTTCCATTGTCAGATGGTTACTTCTCATCTTTTTTCCTAAAATTACTATCATGGTCACTGCTTAAACAAGCTGTTATAGTTTTATCAACTGAAACTTGTTCTTGCTTGGCTGATTATTCAAAGTCGCATATTTACTCTATCTTCAGGCCTTGCGATAAAGCGTCGGGCGATGTGAATTTTACGTCGTCCAAGAGCGATTTTGCGTGTAGCTAGGGCTATTTGCGTCGAGCAAAAAATTTTTTGTTTGAGTATATTTAAATATATTTTTGAGCGGAATTTTAATGAAGTAATTTACGATTATTTTAACATTTCATAAAGTATTTTAAAAACCGCAAGCTGTTGATATAGAAGTTTGAATTACAAAAAAATTAAATATGCTCCTTA